CTCCTCCATTTTCTTCTTTTCCTCCTCCTCCTCCTCCTCCTCTTCTTCTCCCTTCTCCCTCCTCTTCCTCCTCCTCCTCCCCTCTGCAGACCCCATCTCAAGCACCGATGCTGTTACCTAGTTTGGTAATGAAAGGTCTGCAAGAAAATGGCCAAGCTCAGAGAACACCAAGAACCCACAGTCGTCCTCCTCCTCCTCCTCCTCCTCCTCCTCCTCCTCCTCCTCCTCCTCCTCCTCCTCCTCCTCCCCCTCCCTGCAGACCCCACCTCTAGTCTCGCACTGATGACGTCGCCTACTTTAGTAATGAAACATTTGCAAGGAAACAACCCACCAACCTCAGAGCTACTATATGTAAACAGGAGCAATCCCCACTCCCTTCCAGCACTGATGATGTTACCTAGTTGGGTCATGAAACGTCTGCAAGAAAACTGCCAAGCTTAGGGAACTCCAAGGACCCTGCATATTTTTAAGTCTCTCTCTCTCTCTCTTCCTTGCTCTCCAGCTGGCCGTCTTGAGGAAAACAACAGTCCTGCTGGCGGTCCTTCTCTTCGGCTACGCCTATTTTAACCTGATGGTCCCCGATCCCACCAGGCGCCTGGCTCAGCTGGGCCTCTTCTGCAGCCTCTTCACCATCACCATGTACCTCTCACCGTTGGCAGATCTGGTAGGTGGCATCTTCACTGCTGCTGGCTGTGGAGGTTCTGCAGTGCCGTTGGCGGGTCATAGAGGGAAAACTTGCATTCACAAGGACGTTTAATTTCTCTGGCATTGCCGGAGAGATCTGGGGCAAAAACCGTTCGTTGCAGGAGACAGATAAAATTTAATAATCGTTTTCCTTCTCTTCTCTGCCTTTAGTTATTCGTCTGTTTTTTTCCTTTCTTCTGTCATCCATTCGTCTGTCTATCCATCTATCCAAACCGTTATCTCGCTATCAATCTTCTACCTGTTTTCTGAGTATTCCCTTTCTCTCTCTCTCTCTCTCCCTCTCTCTCTCTGTCCATCATCTATCTTTCATCTTTTTCTCCCTGCCTCCCTAATTTATCTACCTCCATCCTTCCTTCCCTCCCTCCCTTCTTTTATCTGTCTATCTATCCTACATCTTATCTGTCATCCATCTATCTCTCTATATCTATCTATAATATGTATCTTCATCATCTATCTCATTGTTATCTATCTCTCTATCTTACTTCTATTTATCTTTTATCTTTTACCTATTACTCCCCATAATATCTATTCTTTCCTCCATCTTTCTTTCTTTTCTTCCTTCTCTTTCTTTTTCTTTCCTTCTTTCCTTCTCTTTTCTTTCTCCTTTTTCTTTTCTTTTCTTTTCTTTTCCTTTTCTTTCTCCTTTCTTTTCTTTCTCTTTTCTTTTCTCTCTTTTCTTTTCTTTTCTTTTCTTTCTCCTTTCTTTTCTTTTCCTTCTTTTCTTTTCTTTCTCCTTTCTTTTCTTTTCTTTCTCTTTTCTTTCTCCTTTTCTTTTCTTTCTCCTTTCTTTTCTTTTCTTTTCCTTTTCTTTGTCCTTTCTTTTCTTTTCTTTCTCTTCTTTTCTTTTTTCTTTCTCTTTTTTCTTTTCTTTTCTCTTTTTTCTTTTCTTTTTTCTTTTCTTTTCTTTTCTTTTCTTTTCTTTTCTTTTCTTTTCTTTTCTTTTCTTTTCTTTTCTTTTCTTTCTCTACCTGCCCCCTGAAAGCCACCTACCTCATCTACATGACTGGGTAGCTTATACATTTAAAACCTTCTCTATTTTTCATCCTCAGCCAGGGGCAGACAAAACGACTGAAAAACTATGAAAAAAAAAAGAAAAGCCTTAAGACCAAGGATTACATAAGTGTGCCCTCTTCTGACCTGATTCAAATTAAGTTAGTTCATCACATTAATTTGTCTTTCATTTGACACACCCCTGTAGCAGCAACCAGTGTGGAACACGGGAAGGAGGGAAGGAGTTTCCACTTTTGAACAGGTGCAATCATTGATTGTTTCTCAATATTTGGCACATGAGTGTGAAATATTGACGTAGGTCAAAACCGCGTCACCGATACCGAAGGGAAAAAGATGCAGGGTATGCAGAAACTCTGATTTGGAGAACTTAAAAGAGGACAAGAAAAGAAAGGAAGCTTAAAAACAGCCTAGCAAAGAGCCAAATGCTGACATCAGCTAGGAAATGGCAATTAGAAAAATAGAGAACTTTTTATTACCTTTTATTCTCCGTTTAATTGAATGGCCTTTGGTGCCTCCTTTCCTAATTATTTTGTGTGTTTGGGGTGGGGTGGGGGAATCTGAATATTTGTTGTTGTTTTGTTGTTGTTTTGTCTTCCCCTGTAGGGACTGGTTTTAATTTAGAAAAAAAAAAGGAGGCATGATGTACATTTTAAGATGTTTCCAAGAAAGAAACGTTGATGCTCCAAAACTCCTACATTGCTTCATAAAAAAAAGAGAGTGAAAAGGGGACATCTTATTCTATTCTGTATTCTATATATTCTATATTATTCTATTTTAAATTGTAAATAATAAATTCTATTTCGTTTTCTATATTCTATATTTTCTCTTATAAACTGTAAATTCTATATTTTTATTCTATTCTATTTTCTAAAATTCCCATTCTATTCTTTATTCCAATATTCTATTCTATTCTAACCTATGTTCTGTTCTATTCTTTCTTTATTGTATTCTAATCTATTTTCTATTCCACTCCACTCCAGCTCCAACCAACTCTATTGCATTCTTCATTCCAATATTCTATTGTATTTTCTAAAAAATTCCATTCTATTCTATTCTTTTTTAATCTATTCTATTCTTTATTCCATTCCATTCTATTCTTTCTTTCTTTATTCTATTATATTCTATTCTTTCTCTATTCTATTCTATTCTATTCTATTCTATTCTATTCTATTCTATTCTATTCTTTATTCTATTCTATCTCTATTCTATTTTATTCTTTCTTATTCTATTCCATTCCATTCCATATTTTCTATTCTATTCTATTCTATTCCTTATTCTATTCTATTCCGTTCCATTCCAAAGTTCTATTCTATTCCAAAATTCTATTCTATTCTATTCTATTCTATTCTATTCTATTCTTTTTTAATCTATTCTATTCTTTATTCCATTCTATTCTTTCTTTATTCTATTCTATTCTATTCTATTCTATTCTATCTCTATCTCTATTCTATTTTATTCTTTCTTATTCTATTCCATTCCATTCCATTCCACATTTTCTATTCTATTCTATTCTATTGTATTCCAAAATTCTATTCTCTTCTCTTCTCATAAATTGTAAATTCTGTTCCATTCCCTCTTCTCTTCTCTATTGTATATTGTATATTCTATTCCATTCCTTCCCCTTCCCTCCATCAAGACAAGGCCACAATATCAGACGCCCCCCTCACTTAACGGCCACCCTGCTTAGCAACGAAAGCCTTGATTCCCAACGGGGATCGTAAGTTGAGGACTGGAGGCAAAATGAGCGTGTGTGTGTGTGTGTGTCCCTTTTCTGGGTTCCACCTGCCGCTTTGCACAATCCCTGCCTGCCAAGCCCTCGGTCTCGTTCGCTCACGCGGCTACACGCATGTCGTTTTTCCGGTTTTTAAGGGCAGCTCCACGCCCCAGAGAGCTGGACGGTTGAACCTTGCCGGTTGAAGTAACTTTTGGCAGAAGGAATTTTAATGTTGTTATGCAGCGTTCGGGCTGGGTTTCCAGAGCGGAAGAGGCACCTGCCAGAGCGAAACGGAACGCAAATCACACACCTGGGGCCTAACCAGGTTAAGCATCCCTTAAGACAAGCCAGGATTCACCTCCAGGGGAGCTGCAAATCAAACCTCACCCCCCCACCCACAAGGTTTCTCTTCAGATCTGCGCAGGCTCGGAGTATCTTGGGGGGGAGTTTTCCCGCCCTTCCTGGTGCAATTCCTTGGGGTTCCCAGGTAGACTTCTACCAGAGCTGGAGGTTCTAGGGAGGTGAAAGAGTCCCATTGGATCTCTTTTTTCCCCCCTGGGTTCCTGCCAGCCGGTCTTCCCTTGCTCATACTTCTCTTCTTGTGTGTCAGGAAGCATTTCCTGGTTGGTGACACGGCGGAACTGACTGCCACATGAAGTGGCAATCGGCTGTCAATCAGCGGAACAGGCAGCCACGTGCAGGGAGTTTTTCGGTGCCGAGCCTTAAAACATAACAACTGGACTGTCGGTTGATGGCGATGCCTTATCCAATTTGATTTATTGATTTGATTATCTTCTGCTGTACCATCTCCTCCACCTCCTCCTTTTGTGTTGTGGGAGCATCATCCCTTGAGGCTTTCAAGAAGAGACTGGGCTGCCATCTGTCAGAAATGGTGTAGGGTCTCCCGCTTGGGCAGCGGGGTTGGACTAGATGACCTACAAGGTCCCTTCCAGCTTTGGTATTCTATATTCAGTGGGACAGCTTGCCTTTGGAAGTTGTGGGAGCTTCATCCCTGGAGGCTTTCAAGAAGAGACTGGGCTGCCATCTGTCAGAAATGGTGTAGGGTCTCCTGCTTGGGCGGAGGGGGTTGGACTAGATGACCTACAAGATCCCTTCCAACTCTGATTATTTGTTCTGTTCTAGCTGTTCTGTTCACTGCAAACTTAGTGACGGACATTCCAATTTCAGTTGTGGCCATAAGTGGAGGACTCCCTGTCTCTTGAACAACACAGGACGGAGCTCACCTGTAACCCCAGTTAAGCAGGAGTGTTGGCATCTTCCCCTAGAGCCTAGACCCCCCTCCCCTAAACAAACCCCCATATGTTGGCTTAATTTTGAGACAGGAACTTACTTATATGAAGAGAGTTGGAAGGGACCTTGTAGGTCATCCAGTCCAACCCCTCTGTCCAAGCACCGGAGGCACATTTCGCCTTGCAAGGTGGAGTTTTAAGAGTATGAGACCAGTCAATGGTGGCTTGTTCCCTAAACTAGGATTAGGGAAACCATGAGCTTTGCTGATTCACTATCTCTTCTTCAGGTTGCATCCATGATGGCGAGGAATAGAATTTAAAATGCAGAAAAATCACACACACACAAAAAACAAAAGGCGTAAAACCAGCGCCGATGTGGCTTAACTTGCGGGAAGCCAGCCAAACCGTGGTTAATATTAACTCCCTTTTGCTTTGCAAGCGCCAAAACCGGGGACGTGCTCTGACTTTTCCCATGAAAATTAAATCTTATTATCTCGCAGTCATTTTTGCTGAAGAGAACAGGTTTGCCTTTTATCTCTCGTGCCGTTTGGATGATTACGTTCCCGATAAATAATTTGATTTTTGAGCCGAAGCAAATATTTTTATTTCAAAGATCAAGATCGTGAGAAGCCGTTCCACGCGCTGCCTTTCCTTCCCGCTGACGGTCACCACTTTCCTGGCGTCGGCCAGCTGGACTTTCTACGGGCTCCTTCTGGATGATCTGTATATCGCGGTTAGTATCAGGCCAGGTTTGGGGACCTGAATTTGACCCGAAAGAAACTGAGTTTCAGGGCTGAGGGAGAGGGCAAGCAGGGAGGGGACAACGACTTATGGACAGATTTTTCTGCTTATGCCGCATGCTGTTCTCTTCTTTGGTAGAAAGGAATTATCTGTAGCTTGGGTTGAACTGTAGCATGGATGATGTTCCCTAGTTGGGTAATGAAACGTCTGCAAGAAAACAACCAAGCTCAGAGAGCACCCGACTCCACAGCCTTC